ACATCTGTTAGCCTGACCTTCCCTATCAGCTTTTGTTGGCATCTCATTGTGACAGCAACAGTATTTTCCAGCAGAAAACCTCTCTGAGACATTTTTTTAGGAGTAATTGATTAGGTGAAATCACTCAGCCCTCTAAGATGAATGATTTGGGGGAAAATTGCTACAAGAGAGTATCACAAAAGCATGGATTTCAAAACAAACAAACAAAACCAAAAAAGCAAAAAAAAAAATTTTAGAGATTTTTATAAAGGAGGAAACTGAAATTTAGCAAGGGGAGGAGGCTTTCTCGATCAGGAAAGTGGATCAGGACCCAGGTCCCTGAATCCTAAACCAGTGTCCTTCCCCCAAACCTCTCGCAGAAGCTTGCATTCTTCAAGTGCTTTCTAACTACTGGATATTTTTTCCAAGCATTTTATATGCATTATCTCATTTAATCCTCAACACAGACTAAGATAGTAGTACCCTCTCCAGTTTACAAATGAGGAGACCTAGGCATGGATTGTGGTGTGACTTGCTCTATGTCACTCAGATGCAGATCTAGGATTGGCTCTCAGACAGCTTGACTTCAGAACCTGCTCTCTAAGCTCTAGACTAGCTACACTCGGCCTCCTCATTACAGACTTCAGATGGGAACAGAGGTCACGAAACGGGTCCCACTTACCTTCAACAATTACATTTGAAGACCAGTAACAAAATAGGTACAAGACAAAGGGAAGAGTTGGAATCCGAGGATCTCACGGTTCAGACCTCACCATCATCCATTTACATGATTTTATACAAGATCCTTGACCACTCGGAGTCAGTTTCCTTACCATTGTCTCTTGTGGGCATATTTTAAAAAAAACAGAAGAGTTAGCAAGCAAATACGGATTTTTAGAACTCTGCAAGTAGCAATTATTTTAGCACTTGACAATTTACAAAAGACTTCTACATCCATCATTTAAATTATAATGACTTACGTGTTAGGCTTGACAGGGATTTTTATTCTTGACATTCTATAGATGGGGAATTGAGAGCCCAGGAATTAAAGTGAATTGTCCAAATTCAAACAGTGAGAAAATTGGTGTGGTTAAGATTAGTCATAGCTTTAACCTCACGGTTAATCTTGTAGAAACTGAGTTTTCCTCTTCCTCCTCCATTTTTCCGGGAGGTTACAGACACAACAGGATTATGAAAATTCAACTTTAATTAAAATCTGGGAATGAATCCAATTATGATACAAGTAAGATTTAGTGTTCTCATCTTAGATAAGGAACAATAGCAAAAGCTACATACTAGCAACTAGTTAAGCAAGTTACCCTGTAGGATAAACCAGGCCTTTTCCCATTTCCTGGTTTGTGTCTGGTGAATGTTCTAATTCTAAGGGACTATTCCTTCAGCTCACAAATAAATGACCCATAGCCTGTAATTATCTCTTGCCACCACTCTCTCCCTTCACATTAAGCCAAAGGCAAAACCGTGAATAAAACAAAACAACTCTGTTTTGTCAGCAAAGTACCTGGGATACGCTGGTGCATATGCTGCTAAGTTCCAACAGTCCTCTCTGTGGCTTCTTAAGAGAAGCAGAAGCTGCATTAAAAGGTTATCTTCACCCAGAGGGACAGACAGGAGGAAAGGAGAGGACAGAGGATGAAAAAACAGAGGCAAGATCATAAAAAAGAGGGGAGGGAAGGGCAAAGAAGGGAAAAGGAGGGGAGGAGAGAGAGAAATAAAGGAGACAAAATAGTATTTATTAAAGAAAAGAACACTGGACAGGAAGTTGGAAGAACTGATTTTGAAACCTAACTCTAATACTAAATACTAATGGTGCCTGAATCCCTGAACCCCTCTTGGTCTCACTTCTCTCATCTCTAAGATGTCGTCAGTCAGCGGTAGTTATTCTTGGTGTTGAAGGTCAAGTCGCGTTGAGAGGCAGAAGCTCTTGACGAACGGTGTCAGCATCACCACCCACAGCCGGCAGGTGCTAATGTTGTCGCTGCATTTTCTTTTAACAAGGGAATTTATTCACTCTGTTGAGGCTTTCCTCTGGAGTCAGTTTATAAATATTTAGGAGCTGGTTTTCCCTTGCCTCTTCCTCCTTTCTCTGCCTGCTGCTGCCTGGCCTCTGACTTATAATAGTGACTTAATACCCAACCAAGAAGGGCCAACTGACTTGGAAATAACGATAGCAATCAAATTAATCTACTTAGTTCCATGTTAACAAAGGCTTTTATCTGGGAGAAAATCAGAACTTGTTGACACCTGATATGTATGAGGCATATTACAAAGTGCTCTCAAGCTATCTCATTGGAGCCGCCCAACAAGCCTGTTAATGAAGAAGAGTGACAATACGAATGACCTTTGAGAGGTAAGGGAACAAAGTTCACAGCTGTAAAACTGGGGCTGAAATCCAGGACTCTACCCCAAGTCCAGAGCTCTACTAGGGAAGCTTGCTAAAAAAAACGAAGCAGAACTTTAAAAACCACCCCTTTATCACACTATGTTCCTACCCCCGGGGGCCCAAAGAAAACCCTTTAATTTTTAACAGCATGTCAGCCGCTGGCACAGGCTCCCTTACTCTAACCCCAGAATGAAAATCTGAATCAAGCAGCACAAGTGAATTAGGAGGGCGGGAATTACATCAAGTCTGTGGTAATAACTGGGTGCCTCATGATAAATAAAATAAAATATGTTATAAAAAATGAAATTTGTCCGATAAAGCTAATGAAAGAAGGGAGGTGAAGGATGAGAGAATGTGAGGATAGTATGATTATGCAAAGTCCTTATGTTTCACAATGGAGATTTAATATACATTATTGATGATGGCATATCAAGGGGAAGCATATTATGTAAATAACTGATCACTGATGTAACTAATGATGATAATTATAAGCAACTTGAAAAAATGAACGATAGAGAAGTATAAAAAGAAGATGAAAAAATGGGTTGTAAATGAGTGTATGTTAGGAAGTCAAAAGACAATATTCAAAAAAGATAGCATTAAAAATACTGTGTTAAGTTACATTTATAGTCACTAGTAGAAAAAGACTATAAGTCTTATTAAATGAAAACTGCACACAATGAAAAGTAAAAAGGTATATAGAAAATATGGTAATATATTTAGAAAAATACAGTCATACAGAAATCAAGATGGCAGAACTAAGATCGTAACTGTCATATCAAAATGTGTAAATAGGTTCAACTTAACAATTAAAAGAAAAGACCCTCAGGTTGGATCACAAAGTAAAATTCAACTATATGCTGTGTACAACAGCACATCAAAAAATAAGCTACAGCAACGGGAACACTTTCCAACTGGTTTTATGAGGCCAGCATAACCCAAACACCAAAATCTGGCCAAAACATTACAAAAGAATAAAAAAAAGTAGACTAATATCCTCATAAACGTAGACACAAAACTCCTTAATAAAATACGAGCAAACTGAATTCAGCGATATATAGAAAGGGCAATAATACATCATGACTAACTGTGTTTATCTTAAGACTCAAGGTTGATTTGATATTTGAAAATCCTAATAAAAATAGCACTTACTTTTTTAAATTAGGCAAGCTGATGGAAAAATAAATATGCATAAGTAAACATAAATTCTTAAAAGAAGAAAACGATAGGGGAGTAACTACCAGATATTAAAATGTAATAAAATGTTACAATAATTAAAACCATTTTGTACTTTAATAAGCAGGTAAATGGAATAGATAATCCAACAATAGACACAAATACACATGGTAAAATATATATGATAAAGGGGAGATACTGGAGTACCAAACAAACGATGCTGAGAAATCTAGCCTGCCATCTGGATGAAAAATAAAAAATAAAGACATTTTTATTCTTATAAATTTACAGACTGTTTCTCAAAAAAAAAAGCAAAACATGAAACTGCTGACTATTACCTATGGAGATACCTGTGGAGAACTGAGAGTCTGGGGCAGGAGAGAGATTTTCTGATAGTAAATAATTTTTGTGAAGTTGAAAAATAAATGTACAATGTGCATGTATTATTGAGAAATCCACCAGTTCAAGGAGTTAAAGAACAATATCAGTCATTTCCAGTATCCATGAAAAGAGCAAATGAAAAACAGTTCTTTGATGTGATATGCTTTATGTAAGGAAAACCAATCATTTAATCCACCTATGCTTGTTTCAGTATTTTAGAAAGACTTTTCAGTTCTTACTGCATACCAGGCCCAACGCCAGGTGCTTTAATAACATTGACAATGACAACAAAGGTACCTGCCCTCCAAGAGCTCACAGTGCCATGGGAAGAGTTCACAGTCGGAGGTTGAGGAGAAAGACGGCTGTCCTTCTGGCTTAGATTTAAAATGCTGAAGAACGTCAAGTCCTTCTGAGACCATAACAAGCACTTACTCAGTTCAGCAAGCCTCCTCTGCAGACCTCGCCAGGTCTCGTGGGGACTGTCAACACCTCTGAGAGACCTGATTTGCCCCCCACTAAGCTTCTAGGTGAGATCACAAAGGGGCTTCTTTTAAGAAGCGCTATTAGCCATCTTGGGTTCTGCCCATTAAGATTTACAGACTAATTTTCATGCTCAAAGGCATTACACTTTTCCCCACCTCCCCTCCTTTGGTTGTGTTCTTCCTTCTGTTTGGAATGTTCTTCAACTTTTGTTCTTCTTTGGCTAACTCCTGCCCGATGTCAAATATTAACTCAAGTGCTTCTCTGGGAAAGCTGCTCTGCTCTCTGCCACGCAAATTAGGTTGAGAACATTTCCTCCATGCCCCCACAGCTCGTTCCACTTTACATGTAACCATTCACTTGTCAGGTTCTCATATTAAAGTGCAAATGTACTTAAAATTGTATCCCTGTTGTCTGACATACAGTTAAAAACTCAAGGATTGTTTAAAGAATTCAACTACATATTCACTGTTCTCCCCTGGGTTCTCCCAGCTTACAGTACTGAACTGAACTACGTGGTTGTTTTTCCCGCAAGCCCCACACCTACGACACCACTTTCTCAAGTCTGAGACATCATACTCACTTGTCCAGGGACATCCCAGGGAAGGAAAACTTGCCCAGGCAGATGCGATAGACAGCACTCAGGGGAATCCTTTGCAACTGCACACAGCTAAGCATGATGAAGTCATATTTGCAGATCAAGAGAGTCTTGTCTGTGACCAGCAAAATCCTCTCCTTCTCATTGTTCCAGTGGTCTATCCTGTAAAATCACCACAGAGAAGAGAAGTCAATGGCATAATCTTTCCAAGTTAAAGATAACGGCATTCACTGAAACATCTCTGCTAACATGAGAAATGAAGAGGTTGGACCGTCTTGGAAGAAAGAGGAGCTGAAGAATGCCATTTCTTCTCTCTCACTCTCTCACTCTCCCATGACCAAGGGAGAAGGAAGGTGGAAGATAACAGGGAAATGTTTTATGGACACAGAGCTCGGAGATGATTACCATTAATGCGATCCAGTGGGGAAGAGCAAGATTGTATCATGTTGGCAGTCAACTGATTCATGCTCCTCCACATCTTCCCAGCTCTCTAGAAAAACTTCATAGAGTGCATCTTCCTCAAAGACACCAAAAATATCTCTCTGTTCTAACTCAGTCTGGACAACTCACTAAGCACTAGTTTATGCCAATCTCCAAAGTTTGCGCTGCTAACCAAAGACAAAAGGGAGATTTGAATACAGGTCTGCTGACTGCCACCCAAGCCATCACTATTTCAAACTCACTGTATCATTTCTTGTGGTAGAAATATAGTGTAACTAGTGAAGTAGGATTCTTATGAGCCAAAGACAAAGCAGACAATAGATGAGTGTTTCCTGAATTGATTTGCTTCAGATTTGACAGCCCTTCAGGGTATGCATGGAAAATTATGAGAGTTAAGAATCTCTCCGACAGTGAGGACAGAAAGATGTCAAAGCAATGGTTTCTGATGAAAAGAAAGTCAGCAGGGTCTGCAGTTCCTCTCAGCCACAGCACTTCTGCTGTCTGTCTGCTGCAGCCTTTAGTATATAGCACTGCGTGACTTTTACTATAATTGTTTCAGTACATGTTTCGTCTTCCCTAAGAGGCTGGAAAGGATGATTTGTGACCGATTCATATCTGAATCCCCACTACACAGCATCAATCTAATGTAAAGATAGTCTGAGCACCCTGCTCCCATCCATTCTCATAGTAATCACGGTGCTATTCCTAAAATATGAAAGGAATGATACCACTCCCCTGTTTACTGTATTACGTAGCATCTTTCTGATTTCAGGATCAAATCCAAGTTACGTGACATGGACTACAGGTCGCTGCATGGTCTGGCCTCTGCCCAGCGTCATCTCAAAGCACACTGAGAAAATTCATTGTCCAAGTCATGGTTCAAGTACCTCATTCAAAGAAGTTATCTTAAACCCCTATATTAACTCGTCCCTCTGTTACACTCTCTCAAAGCATGCTGATCCTTTTTCCTTTTCCAAACCTATTATGGTTTGTAAGAAGGAATGATATGTAAAAAGTTCAGCAGTGGGTACCACATAAACACTGACGAATCAGAATGAACACCCAGTTTACAGGGTGGGGCAATGCCAGTGAGTGTGGTCTGAGTATAACCCCTATGTGTCAGAGTGTGAGTGTGTGTGAGTGTGTGTGTGTGTGTGTCTGTTCTAGGAGGACTGCCTGTGAGGCTCTGTACTCTGTTCCTGTCAAATAGCCTGCACTAAATAAGTATCTGCTGAGTGAATAAATGAGTGTCAATCATAACCATTTTGGAGGCCTTTGGGCTGGGTGAGTGTAGGGGGTGAAAACTTCCAGCTCTACCAGTTACTAAGTCTGTAAGACTGGACATCGAGCCCGTCTGTAGCTCACATCCCTTATCTGTGAAATGGAGACGGTACTAATGACCATCTCACAAGTCTGGGGAGAGAATTAAGGGATATGATTCTCAGCCAAGGCTTTGCAAATTAGCAGTTATTATCACTGGCAGGGACCTAAGTGACTAGGTGACCTTGGGTAACCCCAATATATGCCATTCTTCAATGTAGTCAAGAGACAGACAGGCAAGACAGAGTTAGGAGTTAAATCAATGGGAGGAGGAACAGGAGGAGACGCGAAGGAGGGAAAAAGGGAGATGAAGAAGGAGGAAGTAGGGAGAAACACAAGAAGGAAGAAAAGAAAGATGAGATGGATGGAGACCTTGTTATATGACACATGCCAGCTATCAGGTATGCACAAGTATTAGCCCTACATGTCCCCACCACCCTTTGGGGAAGGTCACGTCTAAAATCAATCAGCTAGAATCCGGTAGTAGAGTTAGTGATGTAGCCGCCGAGAGATCTAGTTTAAACCTTGGTTCTGTGGCTTCCATCCACTCCGACAACGCTGCAATTCTCAACTCCCACTCCGCAGAGAGAAGGAGAGAAATCTTGATCATCTGTTTAACACTCTCAGTCTTAGTCAGAAAGAGACAGGGATTCAGAAACGTCTTATCAGATATCTACATACATTTCTCTAAATAGATTGTATCTACTTAGCAGCAAGTTATAAGCTGCTGCCTAATAAACCAGACTTGTTTTTAGTCTAAAAAATCCTCCAATTTTGGTTGAATGGTTTTACTGAAAATGTCAGCACTCCATAATGAGATTTATTTTAAAAGGTAAAGGATGGATTCTGAGGGGAGGGAAAAAAAAGAGAATTCTTTTTAGGAACACAGAGTGCTCTGCTGTGACACAGACTGCATAATTTACATGTCGGGAAAAGTCTGAATCCAAGTAAACACACAGGCTTATAAATAGTTTGGGGCCACCATCTCTAGCTCCTGGGTGGTATATTTATTTATTTAGACTTCAATCACACCTTTTTTCCCCCAAAGAACTCTTGGAGAAAACACTGAATTTTATATCCCTAATATTAATATGTTTGGTTGGTGATAATATCCAGAACAAACAGAGGCATAGGAATAACAAGAATATACTCTTTGTGCCATTCACGGAGGCTTACAAAGCCCTTGAACATCAATGCTCTCGTTTAATCCTCCCAACAATCCTTTGGACTTACCTTCATTTTAAAGACAAGAAACTAAGGTCCAGAGACCCCTAAAGTGACTTGCCTGATGTTTTACACCTAGCAAGAAGTAGTTCAAAGACCTCAAACAGGTATGGAGACCCCAAATCCAGGGATAGTGTTGGCTTTACCCCTGGTACCACTCACCCCCCAGATAGAGGACCCTTCAGTGTCGTATGTGAAGATGGTAAAAGCCACCTCTGGAAGGAGCTGATGCGATGATCTCTGCCACTGCTGAAATTATTCTCTGTGGGAAACCTCTCCCTCCAAACACTATCCTTGACTGGCCCCTCTAAACTTTGACCACTTCCAGTAGTGCTCCCTATCGTAGGGGAAAAACCCACATTCCATCGAGTGATGCAAGCTAGAGACTCGGGCGTCCTTCTGGACCCATCCCATTTCCTCACTTCATATGCCAAGTCCTAAACACTTCACTGCCTAAACATCTCTCAAAACCATCCACTTCTCTCCAGACTTTCAGTATCCTAATCCAGTCTTCCCATATCTCCTGCCTGGACTATTGCAATGACTTTCTCAGTGGGCTTGGGCTACTAGTCCCTTGGACTTGATTTATGGACATATTCTCAGCTCCCCTCCAGTCTTGCCATGATTCTGTAATGAGGTAGACCTTTTAAAAACAATCTGGCCTTTACCCCCTGACTCTGGCTTCAAAAAGTTCAATGGTTCTTCTATAGCTCTTACGAGACAACAAAAATTTTTCACCTGGTCTAAGAGGCTCTGCAGGGTCAGATCTTCCCTATTTCTTCAACTTCACTTCCAGCCAAGCCTCTACATGCCATTCTCCTCGACCTTCTTTCAGCTTCTCACACTCACCACACCCACTTGTACGGAAGGGACTTTGCACATGTGGTTCCCTCTGCGGGATATGTTCTTCCTGATCTTTTTTTACCTATTTACCTCCTGTAGTGCTCAGCTCAATTACTCCGTACTCTGGCAAGCCTGCCCAGCCCTCTGTGACTATTTCTTTTCTTTCTAATGTACACTTTCATAGAACTGCACATTTTCAGTACTTATCCCAGATGCAATTTTACAGTTATTTCTACGATTACCGAATTAATGTCTGTCTCCTCTCTATCCTGTAAACCTCACAAAGACAGAAGCAGTTCTTAACATTGTGTCTCCAAGGTAATAGGTGTCCAAAATATATATCTGAAAAGAATTAGTGAAGAATTAACTATTCTTGTGCAGTGCATACTATATGTCTTGCCTCTTGCTGCTTGAAGAATGCTGTCTTCAGGTGTACATATTGAAACGCTCCCCCTCAAAGTAGCACATTTTCAAGAAATCATCAGTAACATCGGGAAACTGTTCATGCAGTAAGAGTGAGAAAGAGCAGGATACAAGATGTTACCTTCAGTATACTTCCAATTTTGTAACAACAACAAAATACATAGATTGGAATGTTAACACTGATGATTTCTGAGTGGTAGGATTTCAAGTGACTTTCTTCTCATGCTTTTATTAGCCAGAGTTGATTTTTTTTTTACAATAAACATATTCTACTTTGATGGTAAAAGAGATTTTTTTTAAATAAAAAGTTCACCCATCCTTCAGATTCCCAGCTTAAATGCAAAATATTTACAGAGGTCCTTCCCTCGCCTCCCTCACCTGCAAGTGGAAGTCATCCTTTTCTTTAAATACGCACAAGCCTCGGTCAGTGCCTCAGTTGTGGCCCTGGTCACAGTCTCCTTTAAATTACGGTGATTCCTGTATTTGTATCCCCATTCCCCCCACATTTGATGGGAGACCTTCTGGTGTAGAGACAGTGCCTTAGTCCTCAGTGGGTCCCCTCACTGGGCTCAGCACAGGCCAAAGAGAGAGCATGGTCTTAGCGACTGAGCAGAGCATGGAATAAAGCCTAAGACTCACGAAATTCATCCCCTCAGTGATGAAAGCCGATCTCTCCTGGCAGAGGATTTGCCACATCCCCCTCCCCGCCGCCGCTGTTCCTCAGCACTGCCATCATTTCCCGGCTTGATGGGGAAGGGGCCTAGACCTCACTGAAGTGGGAATCTAGTTGCTCCGGGAGACTTGCCTCCGTTTCCGGGGATTACAACAATTTGGCCAGCAGAGGGCAACAGCGAACTAGCAATGACAGGCGGGACGGGACCCATGGGAGCAAGTTTCCAGGACCCCCGCCT